TCGACTGACACAGTATACAAAGTACAGTAACTATAGATATACACAGAAATAAACTTAACTAAAAATTAACAAATTTATTTAACATTACATTAAAAAGAAAAAATAAAAAAGTAAATTTAAAATGTCAGTTTAGACCCAGAAGTATTGCATTATGCAAGACAGCAAACGAACATTCAATACCAATACATTTGTACAAGTCATTATAGTACGAGCACCAAACACGCAAAGGATCACTTTTTTCAAAATTGAGACGACAAAGTGGTAAATGGAAAGGCACGTAGTTTCTGGATGCCCTAGCTGGAACTGCAAAGTTTAGTCGACTTAGCAACACAGAGGAGTCAACCTCGCCGAGAATCAACTTATGCAGGAACATTACCCCGAGCAATATTCTACGATTTTCAAGAGTTGGCAAATCAATAAGAAGAAGCCTGCTTCTATAAGGTGGAAGATGAATATTTGAGTCCCAATTAAGGGCCCGTAGAGCAAATAACAGAAATTGTTTCTGCACTGACTCAATGCGCTTTATATGAGTAAAATAACCTGGACTCCACACACACGAGCAATACTCAAGTATTGGACGGACCAACGAAGTGTAAAGAACCTTGGTGAGATAGGGATCATTAAACTCTTTAGCCCAGCGTTTAACGAAACCAAGAGTACCCATTGCTTTATTTGTAATAGCGGATATATGTGAGTTAAAGCTCAGTTTCGAGTCGAACAGAACACCTAAATCGTTTACCGTAGATACACGCTCCATAGCGGTGCCACAAAGTACATAAGATGATAAATCAGGCTTCACACGGTGAAATGTCATAAACTTACATTTAGAGCAGTTTAAAACTAATGCATTTCTTGTGCACCAACCTTGAAATGCATCCAAATCAACCTGAAGTAGATTTAAACGAGGTAAGTCCGAAGGCAAGTACGAATAACATACATAAGAGCTCGAGAATGAATCAAAATCTGTGGCAAGTCATTTATAAAAAGAGTAAAAAGCAGTGGGCCTAAATGACTGCCTTGAGGCACGCCGGAGGTAACATCAATTGATTTAGAAATAATATTATTATATAGCACCTTTTGAGTTCTATTAGAAAGATAACTTGAGAGCCATAAAACCAAATTCGACGGAAACCCCAGTAAATCGAGCTTCTGAATCAGAAGTTTGTGATTCACTGAATCAAAAGCTTTACTGAAATCAGTATAAATCACATCCGTTTGCTTTTTTGCCAGAAAACCATCCCGAACTAAAGAAGTAAACTCAAGCAGGTTTGTGGTGGTTGATCTACCCCTCACAAAACCATGCTGACAGGGTGATAATATGGAGATACACGAATGTTGAAGTTGACTGGTAATTATTTGTTCAAAGGTTTTAGGAATAGCAGAAAGCTTAGCAATTCCTCTATAGTTCTCAATGTTAGATCTACTACTTTTTCTGTGCAGAGGAATAGTAAATGACTGTTTCCAGATTGACGGGAAAGACGCCGATTGCAAAGATAACTTGAACAATTTTAGGATCGGTTCTGTCAGATTCACGGCACAGAACTTAAGCACACAACCAGGAATACCATCAGGCCCTGGGGAACAAATCAGTTTCAGAGCAAGGAGACTCTGGAGAACAGTGGTACTGTCAATGACTGGATTATTAATACAGTTAGAACTAATTATAAGAGCCGCAGAACTGAACCGCTCAGGCACAATACTTTATAAGAGCGTACAATTGCTGGCGTATGCCGACGACATCGATATTATCGGTAAAAACAAGGGCTACGTCTGTTCTGCCTTCTCGGGATTGGATAGAGAAGCAAAGCGAATGGGTCTGGTGGTGAACGAGGACAAAACGAAGTATCTCTTGTCAGCACACAAACAGTCAGAGCATACGCGTCTTGGCACCCACGTCACTGTTGACAGTTACAAGTTTGAAAAAGTAGACGACTTCGTTTATTTGGGAACCAGCATTAACACCAATAATAATATCAGCCTTGAAATCCAACGGAGAATCACTCTTGCCAACAAGTGCTACTTTGGGCTGAGTAGGCAATTGAGAAGTAAAGTCCTCTCTCGTCGTACAAAGATCACACTCTATAAGTCACTCATCATGCCTGTGCTGGTGTATGGCGCGGAAGCATGGACAATGAAAGCATCTGATGAGGCGGCTCTTGGAGTTTTGGAGAGAAAGATTCTGCGAAAGATTTACGGACCTTTACGCGTTGGTGATGGCGAATATCGCAGACGATTTAACGATGAGCTGTATGAGCTTTACAACGATATAGACATAGTGCAGCGAATTAAAATTCAGCGGCTCCGCTGGCTTGGCCATGTCGTTCGGATGGACAGAAACGCTCCTGCTCTGAAAATATTCAACAATAGCTGGGAACAGAGGAAGAGGAAGGCCTCCTCTGCGTTGGAAAGACCAGGTGGAGAAGGACTTGGCTTCACTTGGCATTTTCAATTGGCGTCAGTTAGCACAGAAGAGATATGACTGGCGTGCTGTTTTGGACTCGGCCAAAATCGCTTAGGCGGTTACAGCGCCAAATAAGAAGAAGAAGAAGAACTAATTATTTTATACGGATAACTACCGGCTTGAGCACAGGTCGAATAGGTAGATTTAAAATAGTCCGCAAATAAATCAGCAATATCATGGTCATGGCTAGCATTCTTACCTCCCAAAGACAAAGAAGATGGAAATCCCGAAGATTTTCGTTTTGAATTAACAAAACCATAAAATTTTTTTGGATTATTAAAAAATTCCATTTTGCATCTACTTAAATAGGACTTGTAGCAATTTTGGCTCAGGAGCTGGAAATTGGACCGGGCAACTAAATATTTAGAAAAATCTACCGAAGAACCAGCTCTTTTGAAACGCTTATAGAGCTTCGATTTAATGTTATTAAGGTTAGCAAGTTGTCTTGTGAACCAAGGTGGCTTACTACTTTTAGCCTTAATAAAATGAACAGGAACGCAAAGATTAATGAAGCCATTAAGGTAACTGTAAAAAATAGATGTGGCAGCCTCAATATCATTACATGCGTAAAGTTCAGACCAATCATGGGTAGCTATCAAATGGTTGAGCATGTCAAAGTTCGCCTTGTTAAAACATCTCGAACGAGAACGAGAGCTCGCTTCCAAAAAATTTATCGAAGGCAGTAAATTATTCAGTGCAATCTCAAGTGTGGGGTGCAAGGGATCTTCGGGGAGGGATAAGGCAGAGATTCGACTGAGACCAATACCCATTGAATTATCAACAAAAACTAAGTTCAACAACTTATTTTTAGAGTTTACTACATTATTGATCTGAACAAGAGGCAGATCTATAAGAGAGCCAACAAAATCGTGCTGGGTGACAGGAGTCAAAAAGTTTGAATCATCGTTATCAATCCAACTGACGAAAGGCAGATTGAAGTCGCCAAGAACCAATAGGCGCTCATTATCACGCAAACGTGAGTGCAGATTGTGGATAGCTGCAGAATGACAATCATGAACTTGCATATCCGACCGAGGCGGTATATACGAACAAGAAACATATAAGTAGAAATTGGGGAATGAGAGCTTTACGGCTATAAATTCAATGTCAAGTGTGTTGTCATAGGTCAACAACTCAGTAGAAATACTGGACGACACAGCGATGAGGACACCACCTGCTCTGGACTGACGA